TATGTTAACCTTGTATGTACTACATTATATGTACGAGGTTGGCACGTATAGGTAGTCGACAGGGATTCACTATTTTAGGGAAGAAAGAATGTACAAGGATTTCCATGCCTTAGTGGTCCTTCATGCCTAGGCACGCATTCAGTGCCATCAAGTGTTGCTTGCATATGCTGGTAAGCGGGCGAGGGTCCTGAGACTGTGCAAACCGGCTGTGGCACTCTTATGTACTACATGCAATTAGGGTTTTAGGGTTTTGTGGGGACACCGACTTCACACGGACTTCACACTCCTTCACACTGCTGTGACTCCCTCCTCACAGGCATGCTCCCCATGGCCAGTAGACCACCAGCTTCGGGCCTCCCACCCACAGCAGCTGCATCTGGTTATAGTGAGTGATCTGTGGAGCCGGTAAGGAGTAGACTTGATGCTTGTGGTTGATCTGGCAGATTCTATTGGATTCTGATGGTGGCCGCCCAATCCCGCAAAGCCACTGACTTTGCAGAAGCTGGCGTGGATGCAATGGATGAGGGTTCACCAAAACATGGGGGAAGTTAGGGACTGAAACCCACAATCTCCATCCTGGACATAAAACTGGAGGACGATGCCTTATAATTATCTATTAAGCCACACGACCACTGCCATAGCACATGAAAAACACCCAACACCTCATTCTGGCTGCCAGGCATGTGAGGAGTGAGTGGGCACAGCCCATCCCACAATCACGTGTACATCACCTAGGCATGCATGGGGCCATGGGCATGTTTTGCTGGGCACACAGGTATTTAGGCATGGCTGGGCGGTTGTTGGGGCAAGGATCTTATTCTCAATATTTATGGGTGCTAACCATGCCCTAATACAGGTTGGCAATTGTAACGACGCAAATGCCAATCTTAGCATCCCGGGTTACGCCTTTGCTGTGTTACAATGGTATCGAGACGGGACCGCACAAATTCCGAAATAAACTTCGGGTCGGCGGTTCGATTCTGGCAACCAGCAAGTCGCAAATTGGCGATTTCATGGTGTAATGGATAAACCAGCGCACTGGCGCGAGGTGGGATGGCTCCTGTGCTCGAAATAATGGCCGAGGACGTCCATTGCTAAGTGGGGGGCAATGTAACGACGCAAATGCCAATCTGAGCATCCCGGGTTACGCCTTTGCTGTGTTACAGCAATCTTCACTCATTCACCCATCTCCCTGCTGTGTACTTATGTCTTTGCGTCTATTATGGCGCAGGACAGAGCACTTTACAGTTCAATATGCCAGAGCATTCATCCCTTCCTGCCTGGGTGTTATTGGCATGTGGCAAAGCACACATTACCTCGGACATGCACCTGGACCTGCTACCAACACACATGTGCTTCAGGCATATGGAACAACAAACTAGGTGGATAGAGCACATCCAATAATCAAGGCAATGCTGAGAAGCCAGCGGCCCACCGTACAATGCTACAAAACATGCATGTTTTTGTGCACCAGTCGAGGATAAACTCGAGTCTAGTCTGCGGCAAAGGACCCATATATGCAACCACGACACCACTGGTGCTCCCTCAGACAAACCTATTACGGGCACCAGAGGGGCATACCCATATACCTAGGTATATAGAACACGTGATTCTGTGCACATTGTCGTCGTAGTCCCGACGTTAGACGGACGACGTTTAGTCGTTCCGTCGTCGGGACGGAGACCTTACCCCAACTTTGCTGTCCGTCCGTCTGTTCGGAGTTGCTGCTGTTTTCGCGTTTTTCACCGTGTCGTGCGCGGTTTCGGAGCCGCAGCTTTTAGGCTAGCTCCGTCGCCGCTTGGGAGCCACGGTCGCCGGTTCGCGCCCCGTCGTCGTCGCCGCTTTTTGCGGTTTTGTTGTTTCGTTCGGCGCAGCGCGCCGCACCGGACTACTATGGATGGCACCGCACCGCACCACACCTGGGCCCGCGGAAGCCGCCCCGGATCATGGCCGTGCGCCGCTTCGTTGGGTGCGCTAGCTCCGGCGTCGAGTGGGAATCGCAGTCGCAGGTTCGATCCCGGTGCCGGCGTGTCTTATGTCCATTTTCTACGTTTACGTTGCGGCTCGCTCGCTTCGTCGCCCGGCGCCCGCTTTCTTATATTTTTCGTTCGGGAGCACTGCCTTCATCGTCGCATGGTTCGTTTTTCGCGTCGTCGTCGTTTATTGTTCATTTCTTTT